ATTCCTTTCTACACCTTTTCCCGAGCTGGGATAGAAATGAGTATCAACCCCAAACAAAAAGCATCTGTTTCCTGCCTGCTGCTGCCTCACCGGCCTCGCCTGCACGTTACACCCGTGTCATGCCATGCAAAAACACACACAACCCCCCGCTCGCACCCAGCCGGCAGCGCCTGACGGCGTTTGGGGGATTTGGGGACGATTTGGGGCGCCCGGAGCTCCCCCGCGCCCGCTCCCGCGCCGGCTCCGCAGCACCAGCTGTGACCACCGCACCATTTGTTCCTCCAGCCCACGCCAGCACTCGGAGCCAGTTCTTTATCACCCCAATTAGCCTTGTCGGAGCTGATGAGAGGAGAGAGGCTTCCACTGCAAGGCAGGGATGGGGGGAAGAGAACTGGAGAGCCGTGGGTACCCGCCAGGCGATTCCCAGCTTTGTTCTCTGGGATGGAGGGATGGGTTTAGGGGGGTCGGGGACACCGGTGCCATCCTGCCAGGGTTACCTGAGAGATTCCCATCCCATCCCAGGGATGGAGGGATGGGTTTAGTGGGGTCGGGGGCATTGCTGCCGTCCTGTCTGAGTTACCTGAGGTGATTCCCAGCTTTGTTCTCTGGGATGGATGGATTTAGTGGGGTCGGGGACACCGGTGCCATCCTGTCTGAGTTACCTGAGGGATTCCCATCCCATCCCATCCCACCCCATCCCATCCCAGGGATGGATGGATGTGTTTCCCTGGGTCAGGGCACTGCTGCCATCCTGTCTGAGTCACCTGAGTGCTGCTGGCCCTTCAACCCTTAATAAGGTTCAGGACACAGAGTTCCTTGGGGTTTTCCCCCTTTTTCCCTCGTGCCCTTGGCCGTCTGACAGAGGGAAAGGAGCATCCTCAGGCTTCCCCTGCTCCCAGGTGAGCCACAGCCCATCCCAGCCACGTTTCTGGGTGAGCTGGGATGAACTGGGAGCTCCCACCCTGGTGATGTCTCCCTGGGTCTATGGCAAAGCTTTCAGTGGCCTCACAGGGCACTGAAGGAATTCCTGCTCCTCCCACGGCCTCCTTGGAGGTTTTCCCATGCTGGATACCAAGCTGTATCATCATCAGCCCCAAATCCTGGGGTTTGCCCCAAACACCCCCTTGTAGCCCAGTCTGGAGTGCTGCTCCCCACCCTGGGTCCCTCAGTGCTGCTGGGAGCTTCTGTCCCTCCTGGATTTCTGCTGGATTTGTTGGTGATGGCCCTTTCCTGGCTACACCCCAAAGCCAGGAAAGGATCCCTCCTGTGCTGTGGCACAGACAGGACTGGGAGGAAGAGGAGGATGGGGATGATTCAATCCCCATGGTGGGCACTTGAAGGGACAGAGGGACAGGTGCCATCAGTGCAGCTCCTGCACAGGAGGGTTCCCAGCATGGCCATGGCCAGGGTTGGGGTCACCTTGGGAAGCTGAGACACCAAAATCTTGCCCAGGAATTGTGATCTCCACACCCATCCCAATTCCCTGGCTGAGCTGGGCCAGCACTGGGGACAGCTGGGACAGCAGCCTACCCCAAAATGAGTGAAATGACAAAAAACACCCACAAGGGAGGCAAAGCCTGGCCTGGTGCACAGCAAGGTCGTGATTGAATATCTTGATACCTGGAACCCAGCAACACCTCCCTGATCTCCAGCTGAATTCCAGGAGGGAGGAGTAGGTTCCTCCTGATGGATTTCTGAGCAGCTTTCCCATTTTCCTGTACATTTTCCTTGGTGCAGATGCAACCCTTGGAGCTCCTGGGGCTCTAGAGGAGATTTTAACCCCTCAAGGCAGAAGGAGAAGTCTCAGTCTCAGGAGCTCTCAGAGGAGGCTCCAGTTGAACCAGTCACCCCCAGTTTCTCCAAACTCTTCCCAGGCTTTGGTGTTTGGGTTTGAGATCCCAGAGCTCCAAACCAGTGCCTGGTGGTGTCCCAGAGCTCCCTGGCTGGGTGCCCACCCTGCGTGAGAACCAGGGAATTGTTAGAATGGAAAAACCCTCAGAGTTCACCCAGCCCAACCATTCCCCCAGCACTGCCAAGGCCACCTCTGACCACGTCCCCTGGTGTCACATCCCTGCGATTTTTGGGCACTGACCATGTCCCCTGGTGTCACATCCCTGTGATTTTTGGGCACTGACCACGTCCCCTGGTGTCACATCCCTGTGGTTTTTGGGCACTGACCATGTCCCCAAATGTCACATCCCTGTGATTTTTGGGCACTGACCATGTCCCCAAGTGCCACATCCCTGTGATTTTTGGGCACGTCCACCTCAGGCCTGAACTCCCAAGTCCTGCTTGGGATCCCACCCTCCCTGACCCCACCTCAGCCCCTTCTGGAGCCTTCCATGGATGAAAACCTCATCCCCCCGTAGGGAAAGGAGCTGTTTCCCCTCCCCACACCAGGGCATGGAAGCTGGAAGGATCTACCAACAATTCTCTCATCTCTTCCTTCCACCAAGACAACCCCAGCTCTGCCTGAACTATTCTTGCCGGGTTCCCTGTAATTTGTGCTGCAAACTTCCCACCACAGACGCCCCACACCTTCCCCGAGCAGTCGGCTGCGATATTTTGCTCTTCCCACCAGGATACTCTTCCTGCTGTTCAGCTTGGATTGTGCTCGCTGCTTCTTGAATTGTGTCCCGAGAGAGCGTGAGCGCAGCGCTGCTCCTTCCTTCCTTCCTTCATTCCTTGGCTCTGGCAGCCTCTCACATCCCCTCCCTGCACAGCAGCTCTCGCTTCCAGCTCGGCACATCCCCATCCCCGGAGCTCCCGGGGTTTGCAGAGGGCTCAGCCGAGCTCTCCTTGGAGCTCCAAACCTTTGGAGAAGGAGGCGCAGCCTCTCCGTTGGGTTTTTATGGGATATCCCGGAGCAGCCTGGGTTGGAGATGCCCCATTTGAG